AAATTTTCTTCCATTGTTAAAACCTGTGTCCTTAGTTCAAAAACCTCAAAGCATTCCTTGCCTGTGGATGGATGTTTTACACTCTATTTAATCCAAGCTGCAAAATTCTAAGAGAAATGCCATCTAGGAGTACAGAAAGTCAAAGCACTGTGATCAGCATGATGATTTTCTGAAGATTTTCTAAAAATAAGATAGAAAGTGAAGGTATCAGGTATGTAGTGCTTCCACATACATCATCTAAAATAACCACAGGTTAGAGGACTAGGTACACGTTTCTAGGTCTACCAGAAGTCCCAGAGCCTCAATGCCATTCTCCCATTGTCAGAAGTATTTTTATCCTCCTGTCATTGAGGGGTGGAGTGTCTGAGCTCACCTCTTACATTTGGGCTGACTTGGGACAGTTTGAATTGTTAGCATATGCGGCAGAAGATCGCCATGTGCGCTCTGAGTCAGCTCGTTAAAAAACCAAGCATATTTTGCTTGTTAGAGGGAATGCTGAGCTGTCCTGTACAAAGTCCAACTACTCTGAGGCCCCCATGTTGGAGAGGCCACAGGGAGATGCTCCAGCTGACAGTCCCAGCTTCGCTTAGCCTTTCTATCATCTGCCAATGAGCTGGACATGTGAGCAAAGACAGCGTCTTGGAAGTGGGGCTTCCTCCAGCACAAGGTGTTCCAAGTGGCAGCTGGCAGTCATTGGAGTCACCCCAGCCACTCGGGTCTTCCCAGCCGAAGCTGCAGACATCACAGAGCAGCACAGATTATAAGCAGTCCCCACTGTGCACTGTCAGAATCCCTGACTCATAGAAATCACGAGTGTAACGACTCAATTGCTATTTCATGCCACTAAGTTTGGAACGGTGTGTTCAGCAGCACCAGGAAACGGGACCACCCAGAGGAGTTAACTGAACTCCAACCCTTCAACTGGGCTTTTGTCCAAACAGAAATATCCAAAATGTGGGTCAACCTAAGCAAATGATTTGTTTATTCTTCACAATTACCCCTTAGCTATTAACCTTGTAAGACTTGGGGTTGGAAAAAGCTGGAGAAAAAGCCGTTGCTGCACGGTAAAAATATGTGCTGATAGATGCTTAAATACAGTTGCAAAATTAACACAATCTGTTCCAAAATTGAGGTTCCCAAAGTGTCACACTGAAGAAATATTAATTTACAGCCCCATGGTTTTATGCTGCTTGGCTATCAAAGTTGTTTTACTGTACCAGAACCATCAACTTCCACCCAAGATAAGGTTTTCTTACTACATTTTACTTTGTGTATGGATTCAAAACACTGCTGATGTACATGAATATACCCATTAAAGTGATATCTGTTATTATTATTATTTTAACCAATGTATGCTTACTAAAGAGTTAATTTTACTTAAACCGAAAATGATTTGCTGAAGTCAAAAATATATAACTGCCTGTGTGTGTTTCTATGAAAATTTAAAGCTGATTTAAAGAACTAAAAATTCTTTCCTCATTTAAGATGAAAGCTTCCATTAACTAGCATAGGCCTTATTTATTTTTCTCTGGAATAAGAACCATAGAATTAGTCTCTATGTCTGCTTGAATGATTTACCTCCCTAGAACTCTTTCTAATGAGGTCACTTCTCTGTTGTTCACTACATACCAGGAGGCTATCATGTCCAAACCCCTGTGTAGGTCATACACGTAGACATGATTTTAGGTCCTGTGACTTGTCTAATTCTACTTTTTCCACAAGTATGGGTATCTCTGGTAACAAGAATAAAAATGTGAAGAATGTTGGACATTTGTTAAAATAAGAAGACAAAGTCTTTTCCATTTTTGTCCCCTCACAGTTCTAACATAGTACTCCAAGATTAGTTTGCATGTAACAAAATTATAGCAAATAAAAACCTTTACCAGGTGCATGCATTTGGAGAAGAAGTGACATTTTTCAGTAACTTTAAGGAAAGCAGGAACTCTCATGTCAAATGGGGACAGCAAGAAGAAAGAATCTCTAATAGTAAAAATGTTGAATTCCTGTAATTAGAAATTCATCTTAGAAGATCAGTATCTGGATAAAGGCTCCCCAATGTTCATAGCGCACTAGGTACAATAGCCAAGACATGGAAGCAACCTAAGTGTCCATTGACAGATGACCAGATAAAGAATTGTGGTATATATATATGTACACATATATACATGTATGTATATATATAATGGAATACTACTCAGCCATATAAAAGAATGAAATAATGCCATTTGCAGCAACGTGGATGGACCTGGAGATCATCATTCTAACTGAAGTAAGCCAGACAGAGAAAGAAAAATACCATATGATATCACTTATGTGTGGAATCCAAAAAAATGAGACACAAATGAACTCATTTACGAAAAGAAACAGATTCACAGACATAGAAAACAAATTTACGGTTACCAGAGGAGAAAGGAGGTGGGAAGGGATAAACTGGGAATTCAAGATTTGTGGATACGAACTATTACATGTAAAATAGATAACAGGTTTAAACTGTACAGCACAGGGAACTATATTCAATATCTTGTAGTAACCTTTAATGAAAAAGAATATGAATATATGCATGTATATGTATGACTGAAACATAATGCTGTACACTAGAAATTGATACAGCATTGTAAACTGACTATACTTCAATAAAAAATAAATAAATAATTTTTAAAGATCAATATTTGGAGAAGTGGAGAAACACAGTTTATTTTAGAACAGAATACAGTTTATTTTAGAACAGACTATATTCAGTGTCTTTGAGGCTAGCAGGCAGATGATGGTTGAAAAGTGAGAAGTAACACAACTTTGGTTGGCGTTTTTCCTGGGGAGAAGTACAGGAAACTTCTCAGGTGAGGAAAAGAAGAGAATATAAACCAGGTATGACAAATGTTGGAAATAGAAGATGAAGAAAATGTGAGTACAAACAGAGGAAATATTAGCAGGTGGAGGGCTCACTATGAGACCTGAGGGATAGAATCCAAGGAGGTGATAAGTGGATGATTATGAATTATGGTGTTATCTTAATTCAGCCCATTCTTTTAGCAGACCCAAAGTGCCAGATGGGATGTTGAAATTCTGGCACTTTAAGGGATGGATGTCTCCCGAGTTCTTTTAATTGCAGCAATTATCCATCCCTTCATCTTACAATCTGGTCCAAAAGACTATTAGAAGTTTTCTGTAAGTGGGAGACAGATAACGACTAGGGTCTTAATTGTCTCTGAAACAAAGTTATCCACATCTAAGCGAGAGGAAAGATAAAAGGCCCATGCCAGCAGCATCAAGCAGGCCAGAGATGAGAACTACAGGATGTGTAAATGGAGGGAGAATTGATCAGTGAAAATCGACTGCAGAACTGATCCTTCCCAATCATTACCTTGACATACAAAAGTCAGTCACAACTTCTTATTCTTGTTACTAGTCTGTGTCAGCATAGAACAACAATGAAAACTCACATAAAAAAAATGAAGCAATTAGCAGGTGGAGGGCTTAGCAATTCATTTTTCAGCCACATACATACAGAAGCACGACCAGTTTTTTCACTGGATTTGACATCATTTACTGTGGTCAATCTAAATCTGCTTTAAAATACTACATAAGAGACCATTATTAATTTTCAGTTGTCTGACATCCTGAATTGTACGTAAAATGTTGAAGATTTTTTCATATCAATTACATATGAATTATTATTTTAATCAAAATGTAGTGGACGGTTATCTGTGCTTCTGGAAACATATACTGCACCTTCTCCACTAGATGTCTCCAGAGAAATGCAAGTAAATATGGATAATAAGAAATGCTACTGATACACACCCAGTTTCACAATTTCAAAAGTACCCAGCTCAGCTAAGGACAAATAGTTACACTGATAACTTAATCTGAGAGTGAAATCTGTCACTTCATATGCTTTTAAAGAAAATGACAGTCTCGATGTATACAGGAAAGATGGCATAATGCTTACATTGACCATGGAAAGCTTGTTCGCTTCTACATGAATTAACATTAAAGAGACATTAACATTTACTGTTTACTTTGGGGTCAGGCTAGTCACATCTTTCTTTGAATACATTTCATTATCTTAGATACGTTAAACCAGAGCACGCCTGCAGGATCTATGGGAGTAAAGGAAGAAATCCATTGGAAATATAATGGGTGAACAGGGAGGTGACACTTTACAACGTGTCAGCCACAAACATCTGAGCCTATGAATTGTCCTTTTGACCTCTTTTCAGTTGGTTATTGATGTTCAACTTTATTTTGGCTGCATGAATATTTTAATGAGAGAAAAAAATCACAATATTTAATTTTTGCTTAATATGAATTCTTTCTACTGTTGGCTGAATTCAGCATAATCTAATTACTTTAAGAAGACGTTTTCCCTCATTCGAAGGAAGCGAAGATCTCTGGGTTTTGGCAGAACTTCAATTCACAAGGCTGCTAATCAAACCCAGGTACCAGGGAAGACTGAACCCTTCAGAGGCCAAGGTGTTTGGACCCTAAGTAGTGTTGTCCTGAAGAAAGAGTGGCTTTAATTTCAAAGCCTTTCATGTTTTACAGATAAGCTCTATCACCTATAGTTTACAAAAAGGCAATAAGAGAAAAAATAAAAGACGTGTGAAGATCTCACAAACCTTATGTTAAAAAACAAGGGTTTATAAATTATTGGGGGGCAAATAACCACGCTGGATCATTCAAAACTGAGGAAGTCATGTTTAAAAAAAAATGCTCCTGGCCTCGTTATCCAGGTTTGTTGACTCCAGAGGCCATGTCCAATCCTACAGAGTGTCGGGCAAGTTCAGTGTTGGCTACATGCTGACGTTGGCTAAAAGCATGACGTTTTGATGATGTCACGGTCTCCAGAGGTTACAAGGCTGGCTACCAAGGTCTCACTGGGTAATTTGCAAGCTGCCAGTATATTAGCATCCTAACAGCTAGAAACAAATGTCTCTGTCTTTCAGACATATTATTTTTCTTTCTTTGCATAATAAACCATCTCTTTTTCATTAATAACTTACATTTTGGGGTCAGACTTTGCAATCCTGAAAGTCAGATTTAATTGCCAAGATTTCAGTCTTCCTCCAAACTGCTAAGAAAATGAAGTAGCCCACCCAGGAGCAGGACCTTTTCACGAAGCAGAAGAAGAGGGGTCCTGTGCGGGAAGAAAGAGAGAGAGATTAACCCTTAATGCATGCTCCGAAAGGAGAGAACTGTGTCCCTCTTTAGATCTTTAAATCTTTTCGCTACAGCTTAGGCTGTCCTTTCCTCCCACTCTCTGGAACTATTTCCTTCCCTCACCCTACCCCAAGTTGTCAGCTATGGACCAGGGTTCAATTAGTAGCCTCCCTGAAGCCAGGATCCTGGCTAAACTAGTTACTTGGACTTTCTCCCACCGTATAACATCTTACAATATCACACTTCTGGGCTGGACTTAGCATTTTAAGTTGCACTGCTTTTATCTTTTTATATTTGTCCTAAAATTTTCCTTCTCTTGGAAGGTTCTCCAACCTCTAAATTTGCATGTAATGTATATGTACAACTGCCCTCAGTTTCAAGATCCTCTTTGATGGCATTATTCATCCTGAGTGTAAATATTTGTCGAGGGCTAGCATTTGTTGACTTCTTTGGGACTTATACAAGTTCCAAACGGCATGCTCAGGATAGACACATTTAAGACACCATTTTATGAAATTCTGAAAAGAAAAATCTAAGAACCTTCTTTTTTATAGTATGAGCATGTATCATGCTTTTTATAAAAAGTAAACCTCAATCTTCTATCAGAACGGAGTCATCTCTTGAGATAAGAATGAATGTATTCCCATTTTCATGACTTTTCCCATGCAATTATTCACCCATTTGTACCGCAGAAGGAATCAGGGTGAGTGGAAGCCATTGATTCCAATGGATGAAACTGTGGTCACAGGAACAACTAGGTCAAAACTGTTCTTGAAAATAATCAATACATTTTCAATTCATAGGCACTATTAAGAAAGCAGGTAACACGACAGGAAGTTATTAATTCTGTCTTCACCCCATCCTCATGATCAAGTCTATCTGTTACCATTCTGGACTGGACTGAAAGAACACTTTTACTCTTGCTCCATATTATCCAAGGCTCTGTCTTTCTCTCTGCACCTCATTCTTTCCTCACCAATCAAACCCCTTTGGATTTGAGATTTCAGCTTCATTACAGAAAAGCTTATAAAACAATAGCAGCTGTCTAAAATGAAAAGGGTTGCATTAATTACTATTAAGAGCATCCTAGTATAGAATAAATGATTATTTATAGTGGTGATGTTCGAGAGATTGCTGTATTTTGAGTTAGACTTATTCCTCTGTAATTCCAAAGTTCTATCATTATCTTAAAAGATAAGCAATCCATGTTATAATGTCTAGCCAGTCTAGAATTGAAGACTTTTATATAACTATATTATCAATAATGTTCTAATGATACCTAATCTTTTAGGTAGAACTTATTTTCATAAAAGCCTTTCTATCCTATTCAATAATCAAGTACTGACCACCTACTCTTTGCACAACCTAAGATTAATAGAAAAACCTATTATATAAGGCAAACTAGTGACATAACCATAAAGTCAGAATAATTCCATTCAGAGAAATATAAATGATAGATTAAATCTCTTCTTCCCACAAGGGACCAGGGAAAAAATATAACTTACCTTTATGCCATCTTCTCTCCAGCTCTACTTTTGAATTGCTCTTTCATGTTCTATACCTTAGTGTCAAGATTTTCAAATTGAAAAGAAGCCTCTGAATCATATTTAAGAATTTATTATTTCAGCGTATGTTTTCTTAATAAACAAGCAGCAAGTTGCAGGATTATTTTCGTGTCCCAAGGCAAAAATCCTATAGCAAGCTTTCTATAACCTCCTTGGAATCCTCTCTGGCCCATCCAGCCTACCCTAAAAGCCCTTCCAATTGGACAACATAGTCTAAAATCTCTCTATATGGCCAATGGGGCTGTTGGGCCATTACGGTGGGAGCATTTGTAACAAGCTGTAGTTGAATTACACTTTTCCCCTAGGGTAGTGTGTCTCGTGTTTATCCAGGGAGATTCATTGCCGTTATCATTTCAGCTTATTGGTGACTTCTGACATTCAGACTTCTTTTATCCAAAGGGTTCTGAATATCTGACATACCATGTGTGGAGCGGTGAGAGTGCAGATTCCCTTGGCTAGAAATTGCACTGTGTAACATTAAGAGACTTTAGTTCCTCGTGATAAAACAGAAGAAGAAGAATTCTGGCAATGCTTCTGCTTCTTCATTGTATTGAATTACTCGATTCCAGTTAGATTGGTAATCCTTGTTTCCTACAGGGGAAGCTTTTGGTCCCGTGGTTGTCAATAGATGTGCTATCTAGAGATGGTCAACATTACGCCCTGTATGTGATGAAAAAACAATAAACCACATATATTTTTTTTTGCTGCTTCATTTCAAAAGTTCGGGAAACTTGCCAGAACTAGGTCTATGTTAACTCTCTCTATACCTTGATATTTGAAAAGAGAAGTGAAATGGGAGGTATCCCCCTAGGGTGGTAGGAGTGCAAGGGAAATGTGATTCCTCCTACACGTCTCATCAGGAAGTTAAAATTCTTATTTCATACTTTGTGCAAGTTTATATCTGGTCAATATTTGTTTTTCATCAACAGCCATTACTGCCTTCTGATAATCAAAGCTACACCTACCTTTAGTTTTCTGGTGAAAAATAATAACCTTTCAGTTCTGAAGAGAATGGACTATGACAAGATGTGATAAGATCAAATAATGCTCTCAGTGAGCATGAGAACATGTACTCTGAAAGGGATGGATTACAGAATGATCTTTAAAACCTAAATAAAACCCTTTTTCATTAAAAAAAAAAAACCCTCCCGTCTGAGTTATAAAAGACTAAAACAGAAATATGAACATGAAATGAGTCAGGTAGTAAAACAAAGAGAAAGATAAATAATGTAAAAATAAGTATCTTCTTGATAATGAGAAGAAAAAGAGGCTCAATGTGCTTGGTGAACAGAACTCACAAAAGAGGACGTAAGCTGGCAACGTGAAGTCGCTGATGTCTTTTGGAGGGAGTTCAGATTCCCAGGTTGATAGAGCGCTCCCTCCCAGAACTCTGGCATGTATATAAACTCAGAGCTCTCCAAAGCCCACTGCCAGTTCTCTTCGTGGACTAACTACAGCGGAGAGACTAAAGATGATTCCTTTCTTACCCACAGTTTCTCTGCTCTTGCTGGTTGTTGTTAACCCTGCAGATGCCAATGGTCATTATGACAAGATCTTGGCACACAGCCGGATCAGGGGCCGGGATCAGGGGTAAGTCAGTGGTTTGATTTTATAAAACTTTTTTTTTTCCCCTTAGCTTGCTGTATGTACAATTCTACATAAAGTTCTTTATTTATACCTCAGGGGTTTTTATTTCTATTTAATACAATGTAACAAGAAAAAGGGGGAAAAATGGATATTCTGTGATTTTTAAATGTGTTTTAAACTTTAAGAATTACTGTCAGAATAACTTGTGCATAATTTAGTATAATTAAAAACATTTAACAGGCCTTTTTATGACTCAGTTTATTTGTATTTCTATTTCTTACAAATTTCTGGAATGAGGTTTTCAAAATCTATTTCAGAATCTTTTGTTGGAGACTCTCATGTAAACAGCTTTGAAGTATCTTACGTGATGTTAGGGAAAATTTCATTTAAGTTATGTATGAAAATGAAATAATAGTTAATGTAACTAGTCTCTGATTTTCTTTTTTTTGAAGCATTTAAGAATACTTTTAAGTTCTGCATTCTGTAAAATTTGCAAAGTTTGTCTCTTGGAATAAATTCAACCACAGCTTAGCATTTTTTGTTATCAGACATCATTTAGTAACTTAACCAACCATTCATTATTATTTCTTGAAATGGATCTTGGCACTATTCCCTGTGTCTCAGAGGGATTTGCATAATGCCCCAAAGTTCCCTTGCCTTACACAGCAAGGAAGACTTCCATCTCTTTAAGGGAGAAAAACCCTTAAAAGTCTGGCAGAGGATGTTTTGATCTAATTGCTTCCAGTCAAAGAAATAAATTTTCCTTTGTGCAGCCATGCTATTTAAGTTAGTCTTAGCACTCATTTACTTCTGTGATCACTTTCCTAGAAAATTACAGAGTACAGTGTCCTTGAACTTAGTGAAATGTATCTCTTTTGTTGTCTGATCTGTTATTGTTCCAGACTCCTAAAGCCACGCCAACACCCCAAATAGGCACATGTTTGGTTTAAAGGGGCCAGTGCGTTATCTACTATTAAGAGTAATAAGACCCAGGAAAATAAAATTATGTTCAATGTAACAGTGTTTTAAATATTCTATTAGGTTAGCTTGAAATACTGGGGTTTTACTATCAGTGATGTACAATTTCCTCCCTCTCTCTGTCTCTCATAGGCTTTAGTTTTCCCAATGATTCAGTAGAATTGAATCAAGAATGTGATCTGTGCTTGATTAGAATCACATCTTTTTTTTTTTAGAATCGCATCTTTGAAAACCAAATACATGTTAATTTTTTTTTTAACCAGCTGATCTGTAGACATGGAAAACTAATTGCCATTAGGACATTAACTCTCTTCCTTCTCTCTATCTTCCAGCCCAAATGTCTGCGCCTTTCAGCAGATTTTGGGCACCAAAAAGAAATACTTCAGCACTTGTAGGAACTGGTATCAAGGAGCCATCTGCGGAAAGAAAGCGTAAGTCTCACCTTTTCCTTAATGTGCCAGTTCCATCACATCCATGCTTTTCCTTGGACATACACATCACTCTTCTTGAAAATATCCTCCAAAATTGTAAGCGTAAAAAAAGGATCAAATGTGAATAAATACATTTTCCCAGTATTCTCCCCTATACTGGTGGAACGCTCATTATTCCGGAATCTATGGCAATGGCCATGTGATCTGGTGTACAATCAGTGCAAGAGTTTGACTATGTTATCTGTACTCTTGGTTTGGCCTCTTCTTTCTTCGGCAAGTCAATTAACCTCTGTGCCTCAGTTTCATCATTTTAGTTTAAAAATGGGCCAGAAGAACAAATTGATATGAAATATTAAGGTTTCAAGGTGAAAATTAATATTTGCCTATAGTCATTTAGACATTATCTAAAGTACTCCAGTTTACCCCAGATGTTTCACCAAAGCTTAAAGTTGGACAGGACTTAAGTTTCATCTCTTGACTTAATCTAGTCTGGGGAACTGCCAGACCCTCAATGACCCCTAGAGGTGATAATGGAAGCCAGTGACTGTATGTACCATTTCAATAGCCAAAAAGATGATTGCTCTTCAACTTAGTTACATATTTTACTGATTAACTTAAAATTGGAAAACATCATCTATTACTTGATAGCTTATCGGTTTAATCAGTTAATAAATATTAGGAAAAGGTAAATAAATGAGTATTAGAGAAATACAATTATACAATATTAGAAGAAATAAACCCTAGGCATCTGAAGGTTAAGAACTACTCATGTGGTGCAAATTCTTCACTTCAAGATGAAGATTAAAACGGTTAGAGCATCATCCTCAGTCAAGAGAACAGTGGAAATGGCTCCTACCTGCATCCTGTTAAGTTGGACCCCACCCTCAGTGATGGACGCCTTGAGAACCAGAGTATCTGAAGGAGGACCGGCTTAGCACATCATCATTCAGCTTCAGTTCCCCTAAATAGATGGAAAGATGGGGAGGATTGTTAAAAATGTATTCCTAACTTAGAAATATTGGTTACAAATATGGAATCGCTTAATCCTTGGAGTGTCTGTTTCTTTACCTGTGAAATGTGGATTTAATAGTTATAGTATTTCTGAAGATAAAATGAATGAACAAATACGAAATGACTAGGTAACTCTAACCCACAATACCAATTATCTTTAAGTTTAAACTATTTTAAGCAAATTGGATATATGCTGGTGGGAAAAGGAGGTGTGAGCAGATGCCTATTTAAAATGCATAGGGTTACCATTATTTCCAGTAAGAATCATGTATTCAAGGCATATAATCTTAACTGTGCTGTCCTTCCCCACGGTAACCAAGTCTAGGACATCACAGGACCTTGCTGCCTGTTCCTGCATATTGTCTTACAGACTTCCAACTGCTGTTACTTTTTGACCTGTTAGTTTGCAGACATCTGCTAGACTTGTGACTCATTCACACGACTACAGTGGAAGCCAGTGGTTACAATGATCCTGGCCAAGACTGAAGTCAGGCCTCAGCTGGGAACTCCGAAGCTCTGAATTCTTCTCCCCCTTTCCTTTCTATTCTTGATTACCACGAGGCCTGCTTGGAACGCATACTAACTACATAAGAAAGGACCTGCTGTCTGAAATATTTAGGGGAAATCTTTATTACATCCTTCCTGGAAGTTAAGGAAGTCTGATATAATCTTACTTAATCATGTAAACATAAAGATGCCAAGGCTTGTACAAAGCATATGCCAAGATTCTTTCTTACTTTCCATTAAAAACATTCTCTGCTTTGAAGCCTGGCTTTTTACCAGAAATATAACAGTGTCTCCTTTGTTTAATTATATTAGCTTATTTCCCTTAACTGCATTTTCACAGACACATTTACATCTGTGCTCTGGAATAAATGCAAATGCTAGCTGTTGGTTTCAAACAACCAAAGAAATCAATCATATTGATGGGAAGAATGCCTGGTGTGCCATCTGCTTGCTGCTGATAAAATTTTCAAAGTCATCTTTAGGACTTTCTATGTATCAGTTGACAGAAAGGTTGATCTTCTGGTTGAATGCATGCTTTGGGGATTTGGGGAAGGTAACTGGGTCTAATGAAAGACATGAAGTTCCCTAGGTTCAAGATATTTCCCACAATAAATGTTGGCTCACAAAATTAGTTATTTTGTAGACTTCCTTTAAAAGATATCAGTAACATTTTCAGTTGGTATTTCCACAAGATTTTAGATTATTCAGAAAATGTAGATAAATCAGAGATGTGCACAGTAAAGATTTTGTTTTTTACTCTTATTTGTCCTACTGACAATATGGGAACTTTGAGTTTTGTGTAGCATAAATATTCTCCTAAAAAAACTACTTTTTTGGTCTGTTTTTAAAGGATCAACTCAGATAACCATATTGTTCAACTATCAGCTGAAATTGCAATTGCTTATTTGGGAATTCTATCCCATCTAATGCATTAATTCTTTACATTAAAGCTGATCCTTGGGTTACATTAGCATATGTCACAGAAATGTTTGCTACATTAGCAATTTCTTCTTCTAGTCACTATTTTACTTAAAGTGTTATTAGTCCTGAACTAAAAATTATGTATCTCATTTTTATTGTTTATAATATATGCTAAAGCTAATATATAAACAATTCTTAATCCCCTGACATCCAAATATTTGCCTTTAGTTTTATGAGTATCCGTGTAAATAAAATTATTTCAGGGATGATATTTGCATAAGGCTACCCTATAATTTGCATATGTTTCCAATACCAACAATTCTTGAAATTATTTTAATATTAGAGAACAATTTAAAAATTTCATTTCCTACTTCATTTAATTTACATCTTCTTATTTTTTGATTATCCTTAAGCCAATATTCCATGACAGAAATGTTATTCTCATCTATATTTTAATATTTTACTACCTAGGTGTGTATATCCATAAACAACGTTACATTGTGCTTTTAAAATTTATGTTAAGAAAGTAGAGAAATAGGTTTCCAAGGTCACAAGCAGGGCCACAAGTCATGGATAATCAGTTCATGGATGTGGCTTCAATCTGAAAAGCTAATTTATTTCCTTTTACCTATGTAAGACCATATCTTATATCATTAAAATTACCACTTTTTGAAAATTTGCTCTTATTATACATTTTTATCATACTAAAAATGGTTCTTTATTCTTAGAGTTGGTGATATTTCTTCTAAATATGTCCAAATTCTTTCACTCATTCATACTTCTTGAGTACAATGATTACAAATAGATAAAAAGCCGCAAAGCAATAATCTGAATTAGCTAATGTATGTTTAATTACTGAATTACAAGATAATTTGTCTGTAAGTAATTGTCTTAAGCTCTAGGACATCGAATTTATCTATTAAAAATTACAAGATGATCTATATTTCCTCTTTACTTGTAATATTCCCCAATTTCCAATTGTTGTTTCATAAATTCCTCTTCAAATTTCTACTGAGAGGGAAAAAAAGCATTATGGAAAATTTTAATAAAAAAATACTACTTACACTGGATCCTGAAGAAGTCCATAAAATATCAAATGGAATTTGATAAAATTAAGATCAAAGTTATATTTTTAATAAAGTGAAAAACAGAAGCAATTATTTAGATGATTTCAGGTTATTATTTTACCTCAAAATTTAGGAAACTAGACAGGTATTTTGACTATATCTTTGTTTGCTTGAATTTTCTGGGCTGTTGCCTTGATTAATTATTGCCTGTATATAACTTAACACACTTTACTAACTTTGAACAGCATAGCATTTTCTTAAATACTGTATTTTTCTTAAACATTATATTTTTATATTTATATATACCAAATTTTACAAAAATAAAAATGAATAGAATATTGTAAAGATTGTCTTTAATATGATCACAATTAATAACTCTACTGTCAATTCAAACCAAAAACAGTATTATTTAATTAGCAATGGGATAGCAGTTGATTGATTGGAATGGGCTAATGTATTTTTCTGATGTTTCTAGTTCCTAAAAACCTAATGCTAATAAATATTTCTAGCTATTTATGGTTTGCAAAATGATTCCCAAAGTATCATTTTGAGATTCACAGCCATCCTGTGCGTAGGTATTTTAGCTACTATATTCATATTAAATAGTTGAGGAAATTGAGACTCAAATTTATTAAATTATTTGCTCAAGGTCAACACATCTACCAAGTAGTGGAACTGGG